ATGGTAAATGTAAGAACAGATACTTGAAGGAAGTTTCTAGCCAAGGATAAGATAAAGCTATTTTAATTTAGGTCTTTTATTCTGTGATAAAGTTTTAATCCATTCCAGAAAGATTTAATTGTCTCTTAAAGAAGCAGTTGTTTATGTGAATGGGTTTGTTTCTGATGATATTTGGGGCCTCTGTGAGATACAAGCAAATGGGAAAAATTTCTTCTCATGCCTATATGATGACCAAGAGCTGTGGCAGAGGGCTGTCCTGTTCTTTGGCCTTCTCAGTGGCCACTTCATAGCCTCAGTCCCAAAGGAGGAAGGCAGGAAGCTGTTTCAGTTTGGACAGGAGAACTGTTGGATTAGAATCAGGTTAATAACTTATTCTACTGGACCAAGAAAATGAGGAAACATACTCTAAGAGACAGAGATGATGACTATGTGGAGTGTTAGACATCAAGACAGCCAAAACTGATTCAAAAAGACGGGTTCCTTCTGAGGGTTTACCTGACCATCTATTGAGAGATGCATTGCCAGTACTTCCTGTCTGTGTTTGGATGTGCTGCAGTGCAGGGAGGAGCTCTAATGTACAGCCAGGGCACATGCTGGCTCTTGTGCAACTGCACAGCAAACCTAAATGCTCAATGACCATAGATAACTGGAAAATTTTCAATTTACACAGTATATAGTATGGGAATTGCCTGAGAAATGACACCAAAGAACCACTGAGTGTGTGCAGGCACAGGATTTAACTTCAAGGTCTTAATAGAGCTGCACATCCAAAAATCCTCCTGAAAGCACACAGGAATTTTCCTTCCTCCAGTGGCTGCAGAAATAACCTACTGTCACCAGCGCATCCACCAGCAGGGAAGCTTCTGTATGTTCACACTTCAGATCCTCCTCCTGCTCTGCCTGCCTATTTTGACTTCTGTAAGGCAGTGGTATCAAGGTGATAAGTGATGTTTCCAATCAAGCAACCACCCTGAGGATATCAGCCCTCCCTAACACACCCCCTCTGGCAGCTGTCCCCAGCCATTCTGGCACAGCAACAAGGGCCTGATCCAACCTCAGCCCACATGCCTTCTGTCTCCCTGCCACTGGAGAGAAACCCTCAGGAGCCTCTCTGCACAACACCTCATGTTTTGTCTGATTTTATTCCTACACCTGCTGATATTTTTATCAGATTAATGGAGTCTTTATATAAGCTTTGTGGAAGCTCCAGTCCATATACAATATTGCAGTAGAAACCAGAGATAGATTCTCCTATAGGGGCTATGCATAACCTTTCTATTCTCTTTCTGATTTAAAATTTATTTACTCTTAAAAGCCTTTAATTTTTACTTAGAGGGATCAAACTCACCTTCTCCTTCAAACTGAGAGGTGAGAAAACCTTTTCATTGTTCTGTTTTTGGGGAGTCTTGGCACTTGATTGCAGTCCACAACTGACTATACAAGGACATAGCACAGGAGGAGGGATGGCTTTCACCAGTTAATCTGTTGGCAGTTTGGGTGCACATTTGCTTATACTGTAATAAAACATATCTTTCCTCAAGGCAAGTCATGTTAAAGGTTGGAAACAAAACAGATTTTTGACAGAAAATTCAATTTTTCGAAGTTGGTATTTAGCAAGATGATATTGACAGTACCACAGGTACTGTGGTATCTGGTGACTTTGCTTGGGGAATGCAAATTCCATGGATAGACTTCTGCTCTGTTGTATCCATTTTTATTACACACTGTCATCACAAAATACCACATTGCTGCATCTTGTTCAGACATCAGACTCACAGGAACTTTGCAGCTTCACCTCTGGTTTCAGTGTGTTGTTCATCAAATTTGTAGCTTTGAGACCCTGTTATAAATATATCAGCCCAATTTTGCAAGAAACTTGTAAGTTCCTTTTATGTGATTTTGTTACCCTTTAGTGAATATGGCTAATTACATCCAAAGGCGCCGAAAATGAATTCAACAATTTAAATGTAAAGGCCCTGAAGAGCTCCTAGCTAGTGCTGGTGGTACAAAGCTCACACTTCTTTATGTACTTAACATAAAGAAGTGTCCTGGGGTGTAATAAGGAACTGCAAGCCATGTTTGGGGGTGGCAGATAGTCAATAATTTGAAATGAAAGGTGTTTACTTACAGAGAAGGACCAAAAAAGTCAGACTTCTGCTACACTCCTAGTTTCTATGGATTTTATACATATAGAGCACAGAATGCCAGAATCAGTGAGGTTGGGAAAGACCTTTGAGGTCATGGAGCCCAACCTGTGACCCCACATCACCTTGGCAACCAGACCATGGCCCTGAGTGTTTCCTTAAACACCTCCAGGGACAGCAGTGACTCCACCAGCTCCCTGGTAGCCTTTTCCAATGCCCAAGCACCCTTTCCATGAAAAAGCTTCTTCCTAATGTCCAACCTAAATGCTGTATTGGATCTATCAGGAATGATGTCAAAGATGGCAGAAAATAAGGAGGAAAAAAAAAATTAGTCTGCAACTGCAGCATTTATAATGGACTTGAAATACTGTTTGTGCTGAAAAGGTGGCATTTCCAGAAGATGCAAAGATTCAGTGCTTTTCTTTATAAAGCCTCTTACTGAGTGTCAGCTGCAATCTTGTTTCCACAATGGAAATATTTCAGTATAAACCATAATTATTTTCTTTGTTAGACAAATTTATTTGTATTTTACTGAAAGTATTTGTTTGGATTGCCATTTGTCAGTTATATGTGGACAATAGGAAATATTTAGACACCACCTCAGAATGAAAAACTTGTTAAGTTGAATGTGGTTATTAATAGATACCTCGTGTATTGCACACTAAAATGGTAGAACTTATTTTTCAGACAAATAAGACAAGATTGAAAAAAGTCATTCCCTTTCATGCTAAATCTACTTAATAGTAGTTTCTTTATTATTATTCCTACAGCCCCTCAAGCAAATCAGGCTTGGATTCTGTCTGATGTGCATTTGTTTGTATTTAAGACATTAACTTGTCTAAGAAGTGAATATGATAAAGGATCATATTTCAAAACTATGAATGTATTCCAGCTTTGTGAATCAAAGATCTTCTGACAGAGCTTTTACTTGTCAAAATAAAATATGTATTTTAACATTTCTATCTGCATACTCTGATGTATATCCTCTTCCTACCCATATTTAAAATGTCAATTGCCTAACCCAAATTGAGAACATCCATATATTGAAAGATTTTGTCTACATGTTTGGAATTATGTCGTTTTTACTTCAAAAATGCGTAACTTAAAAAGAAGGCTTTACAGTTTCACTTTAATGCTGATATTAAAAACCACAGGTATTTGTTTAAATGCTTCACTAATTGTTTTATTTTGATTGGAGCAAACTTTATTGCTCTGTCACAAGTTCATGCTTTTTCTATCAGCATTTCACTCTCCTGTTTAGCACATTGTACATATAAATTGAATTGGGTGATCACAGGTCACAGGGAGCCACACATCTATGTCATGATGGTTTTCAAAGACTTTATGAAACAGTATTATCACTGCAGATATTCTCAGTTCCAGAACATTGTTTTAACCAAAGGACTATTATTATCTTGAATTAGCGTGTTTCAGGCTCTCAGGAATCTCTTCAACTACAGACCTTGGAGGAGATTTATCCCTTCTGTTCTGGTGTCTCTTTCTTCAGAAGCCCATAGACAACAACACAGCAAACCAAGCAGGGAATCAGAGGAGAAAACTCAGACCAATGGCATGCTAGTATTCACTTCAACCAGCTTGCAAATCTCGCTGGTTTTCCAGAAAGAAGAGTATAGGCCAAATTTGCAACAACAGCGCTGTGCATGACTCTTTCAGGTAGACAAAAAGGTCCTTAAAAATCCTAAATACCTTGCTGGCCCTCAAATGGCGATCACAGCATTTCTTTGTATAAAACACATCTTTCTCACCAACCTGCGAGTGTATTTCTTGTTTGTCAGAGTGCCAGCAGCCGGGTCAGCTCTGTGAGGTGACAAAGCACAAGGAAGGCAGAGGCAGGCTGGCAGTGGGCAGCGGCCCTGGAGCGGGGGCTGCGGGCTCCCAGCCGGGTCAGCTCTGTGAGGTGACAAAGCACAGGGAAGGCAGAGGCAGGCTGCGGGCTCCGCAGCGCGGCTGCCGCAGCGCGCCCGCGGGCGGAGCTGGCACAGGCACGCTGCCACCGCTCCCCGGAGTGTTATCTGTCAGGATAGCGTGTTTGGCTTGTTTGCCAAAGAATGTATTTGATCAAAGATCTCAGGGCTTATCTGTCTCAATATTTTTGTCATTGATTACACAATGTCTGTGTTTTCTAGGTCACTTACGTATTATGCTTATATATGAGCATGTCAAAGAAATGTATTCGCTAATGTATGTTTAATGTGAATGCATCTGAACTCTTATTCAAACAACGAATATTTCCTACTCTTTAATATCTTCCACTCAACTCCTTTTGGAAATGAACATCTTTTTATGTGTATTATCCATAATCCCAAATATTATCAGCAGATATAATAGGTTTTAAAAACCGTAACATTTACAGTTGAGCCTTGTAGTCTGATGCATGTTTTTCACTAATTAACCCATTTTAGTTGTTTTGTATCCCAAGACGCTCTGTATTCATCATTTATATGCTCTATTTAACTCTTTTCAGGCAGAAGACAATATGAATATATACAAGCAAACTGCTGCATATGTTACCCTAGTGAATTGCTCATTCTTTGATGAATGTGCTAGCTGGAAAGTGATTATTGTAGCTGAATAGAAAATTCTTGTTCTCTTGTTAAAAAAAAAAAAAAAAAGGTTTTTTTTCCAGGACATGGTGTTCCTAAAAGAGACAGACTGACTCTGTATGAAATAAAAAATATGTATACCAAAATTCCCAATTTTTTATAAAAAGATACTTTCAAAATTGTCATAAGGCTAATATATAATAACACTGGAATACTGTAACTGTATTCTGTAGCATTCCTAAACAACAGACCCTGCACAATCACTGATGTTGCATCTCTACTTTCTCCACAGAATCTCTGAATGTATTTATGTATTTGGAAACCTGTTTTACCAAAAATATTTGAATCTGAAATGTGTGATTCGTATCCCAGCAAACTGACATGGTAAGTAGATGCTATTTCTTTTGCATAATTCAGTAACTTTAAATGGAATTTTAAAACTGGAATATCTGGATGTTTTAAACAGAGTGTTCCTATAGGAATTTTTCTTTTTACACCTGGAAAGCAAAATGCCACTGACCTTAAGTTCTGTAATGCAATGCCAACTATCTCTGACAACCAATGTTTGTCCTAATTGTTCCTTGAGTGAGTAACATTTTTAATGATCAAGAGCCTTGAATGCCTTGTTGTGGTGTACATGTCCTTAAAACAGATTTGGAAATCTCAGCTATGTAATAACACAATTTCACCTTGGATGAAACACATTATCAAGTATAATGTAATGTCCAAACCTTTAGCTTTTCTTTTTATTGAGATGGTTATTTGTGGTTGTTTCTTTGGACATGGGTCTCTTGTGACTAGACAGACAAACTGAGATCTCTCATGACTTAAAGTCAGGTAAGTCAGAAACAGGGCAAAGGAAGAATTAATGGTGCTTATGGAAACCACATATTACATGCTATAACTTTTTGAAAAATATATTTTAAAAATCTGAAGTCATGCAAGATTAAACTCCATTCCATAATTTGTCACAAGCATTTGTACCATCCCCTCAGAGTACAGAACACGTGCTGGCTGCTTTTGGTTTTGTTCAGCAACATGAGATGTTACAGTTCCATGGTGGTTGTTAGCCTGATGGACATTTCCTGAAGTTACTAGTGTTAAAATTAGAGCAAATACATGTGCAGGGTGATTGAGTATTGAGAACTTTTAAATTGAGAGAATTAAATCAAATACATATTTAAATTTGGTTTGTGATTTTCTTTCTTTTTTTTTTGTGACTATAGACTGTTTAGACTGAATGGGAAACTGTGCTCACTCTCACTCTTTTTTTAGTCTGTATGAGGCAAAAATATCATTGTTATATAGTTTATTGGATTGAAAATGTGAGTTATAATTAGATTGTTGTTTCCATCCTAAAGCTCCTGTTAGAAACAGCTAGACAGATTTACATCACTAAAAGGGCAGCACAAGAAATCAAGTAAAATATAATTTAGTGCCTATCAGCAGATGAGTAAAACCTCCTCACCAAACCACCTTCACTCAAACAACAGAAATTAAAATAATTCCCAAATCAAGCACAGACAGGATACTTCAAAAGACAAATTTGAGACTGGTTAGAAAAGGGACTGAAATAAATTTCTGTTTGGAGCAAGTAATTATCTTTTAGGATTTTACTCCAGATTGTATGAATACACTGCTACCCAATTTAGTTTGGAGCACAAATCTTTCATTCAGAACTAAACTCTTTCTGTTTCTGTACATGATAGATGAATTACATATTCTGAGGCAGCATCATGCAGTTAGTCTTTTTCATATATTGTTTTACAATTTGGCATTAATTTTTGATATTTAGTACTGAATACCTAAGTCTGTTTATTTATAGGAAATTGAGACATCAGTGTCTCAATACCTATGTGTGCTTATTTATAGGAAATTCCTCTTTCTATTATATCCAGTAATAGCAGAGTAGTTTGCAGTTTGAACTTTGATGTACAAAATCTGTAACAATGGTAGTTCTTTGGGAGAATCCAGCTTCAAATTAGAAATAGGTCATTTATTCAAGAAGTCACAGAAGTAGGAGTAATTCTTTCCTCCTTTGGCATTTCTCCTTTTTTCCTTTCATGCATTTCATATGACCAAAGTCCTTTTTTTTTCCAGCACTCAGTTTTTACCAGTATGTTAGAATGATTTTGTCTTGCTGAGATTTGTTACATACTCATGTTTTATTGCAATTGACAGTTTGGGGTAGCGCTGTCCCTTGAGTTTTGTATTTTATTTTCTATTGAAATGTTTGCTACTGTGTTCTGATAATCTCTGCAGTGAAAACAGGAGAAGAAGAAAAAAAAAAAAGGTGGGTTGATGTCCTCATGTTAGAAATGCTGCAAGGAGACCAAAGATCAGAGAGACAGACACTGGAGGAAGAGTTATTCAGAAGTGATTTGTGAGCAAATGTAAGAGCTGCCTTCCTTCCTGGTTAATATTAGCCATTAAATGTGTGAAAGTCAAGTCTTCCATTTGCCTGGGAGAGCTCAAAGGGATTCATAAAAGGGACCATAATTTCTAAAGGAGATCCATCATACAGATCAATAGCTTGGGTGAATTTTGACTGTTTAAAGATCAGCACAGCATTTCAGGCTGGATGATCACAAATAGGGATTTACCAGCTTTGCATTTATCAGCATTCAATTTAAAACTTTGGGCTTTGTGCAAAATTAATTATATATTGCATTATCTTATACAACTTGAATAGTTTTTGCTGCATTTTAAGTGATCTAAAGGGTAAATATATTGGACATGGACAGATCAAATTATTTTGCCTGGGGAAGCATCCTCACAGTTTGATTTTTGAGAGTTACAATTAGCTAGGTGCAGTGAATGCAACGGTGGTGGGAGACAGATGAAAAGGACTGGCTGTTCCCCAGTGTTCCATAAGATTTTCTTCCTTGGCCTCACCGTGTACAGGAGATTTCAGCCTTATGTAAAACTGGCTCTTATGCAAGGTCTTTGACACTTCTGTGTGCACTGAAAGTCACTGGAGAAGGCTGCAGGTATCCCTCTGCTTTTTAATTTTTTAGTCAAAATATTTAGAGCTTAACAACTGAATTCCAAAGAAGCAGCAACTGCTGAGAGCATCTTTATTTCACACAGAGCATTCAGCATCTTTAAGAACTGATGCTTTCCTAGATGGATTTGGCATTGTCAGCTTGCTTTCACTGTTATTTTCTGAGTGTTTCATCTACATTTTTCCTCTAGTTGTCATTGGTGTCAAAAGAGAAATAAGACAACTGATTCAAAGGTCAGAGACATCATTTCAGATTTGATGAGTCAGTGACAATAGAGCTCAGAGAAGTAGCCCTTGGCAAGTTTAAAAGTAGTGACAGTTTTGACGGTGAAATGGTTCTGGGCAGCTGGGAAGGCGGCTTCCTTCCACAGAGGAAGATAAATAATGGACTAATACTTCTATTGGTGAGATATGCAAAAGATTTATTTAGGGACAAGTTTGGTCCTTAGTTTTCACAACCTGAAAAGTGATGAAGGTTTGAATATTCCAGCTGCTCCTGTGGTGATCAGCAGCTGCTGGTAGGAAACTGATCCGCTAGGATGGAATCTCACCCCTTTCAGGATACAAAAGGAAGAGCCTTTCCCAACCATATCCTTTCTTTTGCCCAAATATATTTTTAGTTCAAGAGGTCCTGTGCAACTGGGAGACAAGCCGCCTCTTACATGGCAACAATAATAGATTTTTTTTTCCTCCTGAAGTGAGGAAGAAACTAGGGTAATAGTGAAATGTAAACCTATGTTAATAAATGCAGGACATTTATGCTGAGACCACTTTTATTTGCCCTTCTTCTCCAACTGAAGGTACATTTTAAAATGAAAGTAATGGGCTGGCTTAAATCACACAATTTTTCTTATGTTGTGGGTCCTCAGCTGGCAAAAAGTATGTACACTGCTCCACATCCTGGAAAAAATAGAGGAGGAATCAACATAAAAACACATTTCTTATGGGGAAACCACTGACTCTGTAACCTCTGTGTTCTGGTGTGCAATAGACTTTCACCAAGAATGCCCACATCAAGTTTCTTTCCTGTTGACTCAAATGTAGAGTCTAAACCAGAGGGGGAATCTTTGATAATATTAATCAAACTTCCCTGCTTTATGCTTTGATTCTTGCCTAGAGTAGGAAGCTGGTCACAGAAAAAGTAGGTCACTGAAATAATTACTGTACTGAAAATAATATAGGCTGACAGTTCTGGGGTTGAGCTACGGTGTGTCCATCGGGCTGCAGCAGGTTTGGAGTATGTGTATTACCACGAAGATGTAAGTCTCTAGTATTTAACTTTAACGGGGTACTTGTGTCTAATCTTCTACAAGAGGTGCTTTCTTGTCAGCTAGATGACATATATTTTCCTTTTCAAAGCTACCTGACAACTATGTTAAAAAAAAAGTGAGATCATCTATAATTGATCTTGCAAGTACTGCATTTTTATGTTACCAGAGTGTGCATACTTGTTTCCTTTCTGGTGTTTGCTGCTGTTGTCCAGATTTGTCCAGTCATTTAGCACTTGTGTTCTCTAATTCTTGCACAAACTTTAAAACTGGATTATTTCTTGTAGTAACATTGCAATTCACTTATATACCAGATGTTTACATTGAATGGAGAAAAAAATAAAAGGTGATGGATGTACCCAAAGGACAGCTGAAGGTCAGGCTGGACAGTCTTTATATTGCATTCATTTTCAACCATTGCCTTATCTTACATACAGGGTGTATCACAGGAGAAATATTTGACTGTGGGGGATATGTTTTTCTGCATTTGTGATCTTTTTGTGACACACAATTTGTGTGTCAAATATGTGCCATAATAAAAAAAAACCAATTGTAGCTCAAAGGAATGTTACTAGTAAACATACTCCTTTCTAAAGCCTTCCAGTAAAGATACATAAATCAACAGGAGAAAAAGGGTCTACAAAAGATAGGAATGAGCTCCAAACCATAGGTTTTACTGAGGAAAATATTAGGAAAATAAAATATGATTGTAGTCTTAGAGACAATAATACTGCTTTTTATGTTTCACAACTCTATTTTTAGACAGCCAAAAGCTCTGGTGTGTTAAAAAGCTATTCCTCATGAATTATACATTTGTTCTTTTTCATTTGGCTACAGTGACTTTGTCATATGAGTCCTGAAGATACTGAAGATGTATGTATGTATGGTATGCTGAAATTTTCTGTTGGCAGTATGCACAGTTGTCTGTTCGAGCTTTTTGATTTGCTTTGTATATTTATATGTTAACTAGATTATACAGTTCTTTGTGACAGTGATATATTTTTTTTAAACTGTATTTTCAGATAGATTTAGTGCATTCCTTCTGCCTAGACTTTTTGTGGTTTTTGGTTGTTTGGTTTTTTGGTTTTTTTTTAATTAAGAGTTCAGGAAGG